TTCTTTGGGATGGGAACAAATATAGATCTCTTCCAGTCAGTTGGCCAAGTGGTAGTTCTCCAGATTTCTTGGCACATCTTGGTGAGCACATCTAAGGCAGCATCTGTTAGCTGAAATATGTCAATTGGTATACCATCTATTCCTGGGACCTTATTTTTTGCTATTTCTTTCAAAGCAGCTTGACCTTCTTCCTTCATCACCATAGGCTCTTGCTCACATGTTTCATGAAATTCTTCTGTGTCTGCCATTTCCTTTCGATACAGTGACTCAGTATATTCCTTCCATCTTCTTCTGATACTTCCTGGATCATTTAGTATTCTGCCTAAAGCATCCTTGATTATAGCAACTCGAGGTTTGCATTTGTTCTCCAGTTCCTTGAGCTTAAGAAATGCTGAACGAGTTCGGCCCTTTTGATTTTCTGACTCCAGCTCCTTGCACATTTCATTGTAATATTTTTCTTTGTCATCCCGTGTTACCTTTTGGGATCTTCTATTCACCTCTTTAGTATCTCGAATTCTTCCTTGGAAGAATTAGTCTTTGGAAAAGAGATTGTCACAGTGGCTGCAAAAATTAGATAAAGTACAACAGATTGTGAGAGTGGTGTTTTATTCTTTTGTCTATAGAGCTGCTATGAAAGTGAGCAGATTCAGAGGCATTTAACAGCAACAATAACAGCAATCTTTTTTTTATTCACATTAATAAAAATTTCCTTTTTGTAAAAAAAATAATTCATTCAGGGTCCAAACAGCATTTGGTTAACAGGTTTCTAGATTATTTTTTTTTTTTTTGTCTTTCTGCTTCCTAAGAAAGATTTTGACTATATCTTCCTGTAACTTTCTTGGTTTGGGGGATTTTTTTTTTATGTTCTGCTAGTTTATTTACAAAATTTGAGTGCATTGTTTTCAAGAGCAATAGTAACAGCAATCTTGAGTAGCTTCCCATGAATTTATTGTCCACTTGTGCTTTTTATTTGGAAAAATGTCTATTCAAGCCTTTTGCTCATCTTCCAGTTGGGTTATTGTACTTACTTTTGATGCCATGCAAATCAAGAATCTACTGAATGTTTAAGACTATTCTAAGATGTAACAAAAGTAAGTATCATAATGTTGTAATGGTAATTAATTTATGTTTAATCAAGTATTTTTGTACCTATTGTGTTGAAAGTTGATGGCATCTCCCTTCTTACTCTGATATTTTTGTTGTGGTGGTGTTGTTAAGTGCCTTGAGTTGAGTTGTTGAGTTGAGTAGGACTCACAGTGACCCTGTGAATGATGGATTTGGACCCTTTCGTATCTTATACCACCCTCACCATCTCTGATATAAATAGTCTTTCACATTGGTTGAATCACAAAAATTGTTGTTCTCAATCTTAGCTCTGTAACTTTAATTCTCCATTAATGTTGTTGTCTCCTCTGTTCTTACCAGATTTCTTTTGACCTGGCTGAATACACAGCAGATGTTGATGGTGTTGGCACTTTGCGGCTTCTAGATGCTATTAAAACCTGTGGTCTTATCAACTCTGTGAAGTTCTACCAAGCCTCAACAAGCGAGCTTTATGGGAAAGTACAAGAAATTCCCCAGAAAGAGACCACCCCCTTCTATCCTCGATCACCCTATGGTGAGCACTATTGCAGAGTGATGCTTGTCCATACCTCAGAGCAAGGGCTGTAAGAAGGGCGGGGAGTAGAGAGGATAGTTTGTGTTCTATTTGAATTCTGTTCAAGTCTCAGGGTTGATATCATTTGGGCGTGCAGTTAACTTTAAGATAGACCAAAGTGACTCAACTTGTTGAGAAATATACCTCTATAAATTGCTAAATACAAGTATGTGATGCCCTTGCCTCAGGGTATAATTATCACCTCACATCACCAAACTTTTGTTCATTCAGCCCACCCATATAGAAGAAAATTAGACCCAGCATGACTATTTTTCTCAAACTGATATGAGATTGTGTTGAAGTGACAAGGTTTCATGCCTTTTATTTTTTAAGAAAACTATCTAAGACTTTAAACCCTTAGGAATAATTCTACATCAATAAAAAGAATATTACAGAAAAACTTTAATGATAAAATGGTAAAGAAGCTAGTATATTAAAGTCTGTTATTCAATTTCCAACTCCTTCAAAATTCAGAAAGGGAATAGAACCTAAGAAATGCTGTATTGTTGAGTTCAAATGTGAATGAAAGAACTGAAGGTATTACAGAAATAAAGAACCCTTAAATATTTTCTTATGTGTATGGTTGCCAAAGAATATTTCTATAAGACTGTTTCTAGCTTCATGCACTACAAACTAATTTTTGCAAATTGATACCTAAGACAATTGAAAATAATTTAATTTTATAATACATTTTATTTGCTTGAGACTCCAATAAGGGCAATCTTTTGGACTCTGGTGTGTGCTTCCATAGGCATTGATACTTATTTAAGATGCATTAAAAAGCATTGAGTTTTTTAGAATAACATTTATTTGTTCAAATTCTAACAGGGGCAGCAAAACTGTATGCCTACTGGATTGTGGTGAACTTCCGTGAAGCTTATAATCTTTTTGCAGTGAATGGCATTCTCTTCAATCATGAAAGTCCCCGAAGAGGTTAGTAACTAACCATAATACATTAATGGGAAAGAGATTTTCAGATTTTAAAAAACAGCAAGGTCAGTAAAAGCACAACACATTTACATGGTACTGATGGTATACTATCACTTTGGAACCAACCTATAGTGACCCTACAATGGGTTTTCAGAGGCAGTAAATTTCATGGCAGGAGATTGCCCATCCTTGTCCTGGAGAGCAGCTGATATATTTGAGCCATGTGCCTTTGAGATTATAGCACAGCTTCTTACCACTATACACATTGTTCTGAGTACAGTGAATATCATAAGTAGTCAAGGAAGAAACACACATTCAGCCTTAGTTTATATTTTCATATTGATTACCAAAGAAACCTAAGTCTCTGTTTTTTGGTATTCAATATGAACAAATAGAACCAGATTCCAGTTTTACTATTTTCATTTATAGGTCTTATCAAGCACACATTCAACCAAAATATTGTTAAATTCCATATGAATACAAGGAAGTGAGTATTAAATGCCTATTTCTAGAAGTCACTCTTGGTCACATAGATTTGACTTGCAGAGTCCAACTCTGAAGTTGTTGGATATTTACTGTTTAGATTCTACTAAACAGATTCACAGAAATTGCTATGCCTCTGGAAATTAGATCTTGAATTTATAAATTAGTGTTATATTGAGAAAAATTATTGCTTTTGTGTTGCCTCTTCAGAAAACATTTTTTTATTTGCATTGGCTTGTTGCCTTTCATAGTAATTGCTAAGACAGGTACTAACAAGTTGTTCTCTTTCCAGTAATAGATTTTGAAATAAGATAATGGAGAGTTATATCATTCATTGCTATTTACTAAGTAGGAGAGCTCTGTGGCATTTGTACACTGTTTGCAAAGTAAAATTTATCTGTGTGATTCAATGCTCAACAGTTCTATTAAATCTATCATTTTGCCTTGTAGCCTGAGAAAAATGGGAGGTTCAGTATTTTAATTACATTAGAAGTGCTCAACACATAGTAATGCTTGTAATGACACTTTATGTGACTATAGAGGCACATAATTAAACCAACATGCTATGAAGAAAGATTAATATGACAGGTTTATAAAAGTATCTTTAATCCCAATATGATTTTATTTTATAATTTCCCAAGTTAAAACTTCCCACGTTGGACTGTAAAGCAACAGACTCTAAACTGTCATCTCTTTTTCCCGAAAGGAATACAAGTTAACAAGCAGAGAGAAGCATTTCTTTCCTTGTCTTTGTGATTATGGGTATCATTAGTAGGAAGAGGCAAATCTGAGCCATCCTTGTCTATGCCATTGAGTGTAAAATACAAGTCTCAAGGAATTTGTTTGAAATGAGCTCCTTCAATCCCCTAACACATACTCGTTATTTGGTTTCTGTTTTACCTTTCAACTTTCCTTTCAGAAATAAATCAAAATTGGTTATTGTTGTGGATCAGATTAGAGAAGGGAAAAACAATTCTTTTAGAGTAAAGAGGTGAATTGAAAAATGACACCCTCTCAAAATCCTGTCAGTACTTATTGTCTATTTCAACATCTTATAATTAAAACATTTTTTGTCTTTTGAAATGTTAACAATTTGCTTTTCTAAGGAGATTTTATATATATATATATATATATGTAATAATCTTTAAAATTTCCATTCATCATGCCTACTCTTTCCTACCACCAAACGTATTCTTACTTCCGAAATGTTCCATCTTTATTGTTGTCATAAATATAGCTTTTGTTACACAGTTGTATAAAATTTGACCAAGTAACATGTAAATTTTTTTTCATTATTATTTATCTGGATATTATTGCTATCCCAGTTTTTACTTCATTCATATAATCAACTAGTGGGGGCAAAGTATGTATGAAAAACTCTCACTGACTATCTAATACTTATTACTTTGAATTCAAAATTAAATTTTATAGTAATCTGCCAACAATATACCTAGATTAATTGTTGTTTACTTAGGAGGTTCTTGGCCAGACTGTTGTTGTTGTTGTTGTAAGGTGGTAATAAGTCAACTACAAATTATAGCAACACTATGAAAAATAGGTCTGAACCCTGCTCTATTGTGTACCATCCTCATCATTTCTGAGATACTTAAGCACATTTTTAGTCACCCTATCAATCCATCTCTTAAGAGTCTTTTTCTGTGTCTTTGACCATCCAGCGATCATTTTAGAAGTTTAAACATTCTTGCCCAGAAGGAACACCCTAGTTTACCTTCTGAAAGACAAACGTATTTGTTCTTTTGGCAGGCCATGAGATTTCCAGTACTCTTCTCCACAGTTCAAAGGCATTAATTCTTCTTTCTTCATCTTTATTTAATATCTAACTTTTAAATTTATTTCATAGGAAATAATTGTAAAGACCATGATTATAATCAGGCTCACCTTAGTCTTCAAACTGACACCCATGGTCATTATAACTTTGGAAAGATATTTGAAAGCAAATTTTCCCAGTAAAACACGTCTTTTGATTGATTAACTGCTGGCACATGGGTGTTAATTGTGAATTCAATAAAATAAGAGTACCAACCTTTTCTACCTCTATCATAATGCTGCCTATTGGTTCACTGGTGAGGATTTTTATTTTCTTAATGGTGACATGCAATCTATATTAAAGGCTATAGTCTTTGATCTTCTGCTGTGAGTGTTTCAAATACTCTTCATTTTCAGCAAGCACATTCCAGTCATCTTTATATTTTATTTAGTTTTTTGATTAATCTTGCCCAGATCCAGATGCCATATTCTTCCCCATGTAGTCCAGCATACAGATTGAATAAGTATGGAGAATGGGTAGTCAGTTTTTGAGAAGATTGTTTCTGTTCTCCAAGATCTTCAGTAAAACACTTTGGATACTACAGTCAACTGTCTATAGTGTGCCCTGGACTGCTCTCCTGCCTAAAGCACTATAGTGACTGTGGCCCCACACCCTAGAAGCACCCCAGCTCCTCCACCTGGATCCCCAGAATCACCACTTGGAGAACTTGGCCCCGCCACTGAGACACTCTCACCAGCTGCCTGAAGGACCTAACCCTATGCCCAACCCACCCCCTGCCTGGACGCACACCACCTAAAAGTCTAGCCCCTGTGCCTGCAGGATCTGGCCCTGAAACCTGGACACCCCAGCTCTGCCACCTGGAAGATGACACACTGCTGCCCCTCTGAACTGTGCCAGGGACACCAATATCACAGGTGATACAACTTCCTTTCGCCTCCCAGAGATTGAGCTGCCTTTAGCCCTGGACACCTTGGACCTGCTTAGCTTCAGCAGTTACCTAACAGAGAAGGCTGCTAATTCACAGGGCATATCTCTCCCCAACTGAAGCAAGTCTTCCCTTGAGTCAAAAGTTCAGCGAGAAACTCAGGCAGCTGTCCTGCCCTCCTCTGGAGCAGAGCAGTGACTTCCTGAGACAATGTTTTAAGAACAAGAGCCTGTTAAAAACTCAGGCATGAAAAATTCTACCACAGCAATGTTAAGGAAGAAGCAGACTAACTCACACCCAACACAAACCCAAAAGAAGATGTCACCTCCAAAAAGTGACACCATATCAAAGAATTTCCTGAAACCAGAAAGTCTGATGGAACTTTCTGACACAGAATTCAAAAGAGCAATGATAGAATATTTTCAATGGGTGAAAGAAAAACTCAAAAAATTACAGGACTCTGCAAGCAAAAGCCAAGAGGAACATAAAAAAACCAAAAAACAACAACAACAAAAAAAACCCCAACAACCAAAAACACCAATCCAAGACAATGCAGATACAATAAACAAGAGGCTCTGGTAAAACAAGAAACTACAATCCACAATATGAGGACCAGTGTTTCAGATGCTGTCAACATGTTGAAGGGACATTATGAACTGAGTTGGAGAGATGGAACACATAACCAGCAAAATAGAAGATAGACTTGTCACCACTGATCTGCTAGTAGAAGAAGCAGAATCAAAAATGAAGGAAAACGAAGAAAGGCTGAGAATAATGTGGGACACCATCAAGAGGAATTACATGTGAATAATAGGAATCCCAGAATCAGGAAAAGCAAGTCAAGTTCCTAAGAGACAAACTAGTATCAAGCTTAGAAACCCTAGTCTTACAATATAAAGAGACTGCCAAATGCAACCAGAAATGCACAATCTGAAGAGGATAAAATTGATGAATGAGACCGTCTAAAGAGTTAATCTCTGTGAGCACGGAAAACTTTTTCCAACAGGGTGAAAAGAAAACCTACTGACTGGGAACAAACATTTGTCAATACCAGCTCAAACAAGAATCTCATAACAAAAATTTACAGAATACTCCTGGGCCTCCATAAGAAAAAGACTGAAAAACCAGTTATAAAATCGGCAAAAGACAAGGAAGGAATTTTCACAGAGAAAGATATTTGAGTAGCAGACACATGAAGAAATGTTCCAAATCACTGTCAATAAGAGAGATGAAAAGAAAAAAAAAAATTAGACACCATCTCTTAGACAGCAAGTAATAAATGTTGGAGAGGATGTGGTGAGAAAGGAACTCATACATTGTTAGTCGGCACTCTGGAAGGCAGTTTGGTGCTTCCTCAAAAAGTTGAACATAGACATTTCATATGACCCAGCTATTCCACTGCCTGAATATACCCCGAGAAAATGAGAACTGAGGCACAAATTGAGACTTGTTTACTAATGTTCATGGCAGCGTTATTTACCATTGCAAGCACATGAAAACATCCCAGATGTCCAACCACAACTTAATAGTTTGATAAATTATGTTACATTCATACAATGGAATACAACATAGCATGCAGTAGGAATGATTTTGTAAATTATTACCTAACTTTGGAAGAATTGGAGACTATTATTCTAAGTTAACTAACTCAGTCCCAGAAGAACAAATATTTTCAGTGCTGCTTTATTAGTGAGGTTTTATAGTATTTATTTTTTTGTGACTGAGCTATTCTACTCAGCATAATACTCATATTATGCTGAGTAGATATTTTTCTAGTTCATTGATTTTTAGTGCTGCATAGTATTC